GTTAATGTACAGTAAGTTTCTTAATATTAGCATACAGTCAAAACAATAATACAATATAATGGGGTACAATAGGAATACAATTAATGCACCGTGTAGTAATAACCATTTTGAATCTTTAAATTCAGCACAATTCCTATTTAAAAATCCTAGTGTTTACCCTTACGGCCTTCACATAAATTTATTTTATATGTGCATTGAAACTTAGGTAACTTGAAAAGATATTTCCTAAATCACGAACTTGATCCATCTGCGTAATTATACCATTGCTGGCATTGCATATTTCATGAACTATTGATTTATGAGAATTTTGTAATCTAAGTCCCTGCTGTGTTTGGTGTGGTGAAAATCACAAAATTAAGTGAGTGAAAATTCTCACAAGACTGAAAATATGTTCCTTGTACGAGGTTCACCTCTGGCCAATTATGAAAGATGATTATAAAATATGTTATAATGTATGCACATATGACATTGTAAAAAAAACAAGAAAAATATTACTAATAATCAATGGTCCAAAATAGATCATTAATTGTTTTCAAATCTTCAACAAACTACCCAAAATTTTTTAATTTTGATATAAATAAATTAAATTTCCCAGCTCTAAATCAAAACAACTCTACTCATTTATAAAATCCAAATTCATCAACTCGTTCAAATTCATCCAAATTCATCATTCTCCAAATGATCACCACTGTCGTTGATAAATTAATTCTGAAAATTGACTTATACTCAGCTGAAAAAATTAACCACTCACCATGCTATCTTGGAGCTCACTAAAACCTTCTCATTTAAAACATATCTGGACAACACGTACAGATGATGACAAAACCATAACTAACATCGACACCAGTTTGTTCTTATAATTTTTAAATTAAATTAAATGTTAAGTGTCTCAATTGTGAGGCTTCCACCTAAATTGTATTTTAAATTAAATTAAATGTATCTATTAAAACGTGGACTTAATATTCAATTAGCTATAGATTGTATATTTTCAAACTTCATGGACATTAAAATATACGCCCATTATAATAGTAGTCGTACAAAAAGTATTAAAAAAGATTGATAAAAGTGTATGTCAAAAATGTATGCTGATACTATCTGTCTGCCGTGTAATTTATAGTTTAAAACGAAAACGGCTACAGCACAAAATTTGAATATTATTATTATTATTATTATTACGTATGTTTGATACGATGCGAATTCGGTCGTGCCGACCATCATGCAATATAATATCGAGGGCGCGGTTCGTGTGTGACATACCTAGCTGGTAGGTATAATATAAAAACATATTTACCCTACGCATAAAACTTGAGAGAGTTCATAAACAACAAAATACGTATTACTCGGGTTCAACCACTCGGGTGTTGTTAGACGCTCTATTTATACAAAAATATAAACAGCAGAGTTACAAACAAAAACACCGTACACACTATTATGAGTAAAATTATTTTACGATCAACAATTATATAACATTTTGAGACATTTTATATTATTAACATTATAAGTTATAACTGTTGTTATGTTATGCGTTGGATATCAAGTCATCGTATCAATAACATTATTATCTAAGAAATATACAACTCGCTTCATCGCCATGTTTATTTAGTAGTGTTTGATATAACTACAAAGCATGGTTGTAAAAAACAATTTATTAAAGTTTCGATCAAAAAACATGATCGGCCCAGACATTGTCTATCCCTATAATCCCCTTACTATCAAAATCAGTACCTACTTATTTTAGTTTTTAGTCTCTTTTTTTTGCTCATTCCAACTGGGCATGAAACCGGTTGAAAAATGTTGGTTTCTGTTTCGAGTTTGTGTAGTAGTTTATAATTTTTTCGATTTTGGTTTCAATTTTACAATACCGGTATTAGGAAATTTTGGTTTTAGTTTCGATTTTGTATACTGGTTTCTAATTTTTGCTATTTTGGTTTTAGATTTAATACAGGTTTCCAATTTTTTCTGTTTTTTTTTTTTTTTTTTGTTTTTCGGTTTCAGTTTTTAAACGGATTATACCAGTTTCTAGAATCGGTTTCAAGGCCTGGATTATTTACGTTCATTCTTATTTTATTAATTTATTTGAATCGTGAGATCGAGTGTTTGAATTTTTACTTTATTTGTGTAAAGTAAACTTTCCAAAATGCTTAATATATATTATACCAGATCCTAGATTTTCGAAAAAAAATAAAGTTTTTCAAATTATATTTTCGGTTTCGGCTTTAAACTATAATACCAGTATCTAATTTTTTCCGGTTTCGGTTTTGTCGGTATGTACTGGTAAATAACTTTATTTTCATATCTTCTACCGTAACATATATATATATATATACATAAAGTACGTACTGCCCAGGTACACACTAACCTATTCGCGGTATATGGTCATCTTATAACTATCAAACATCGATCTTTTGAAAAATAAACACATCAATTTCAGAAATATAATTGAAAAGTTTCCTCGTAATGTTTGATTGTATAGATAAACTTTCGTAGGAAAATTGGTTAATATATAGAGATGAAGGTCGTTTATCAGACATTTCAAACGGACTAAACGGACCGTGTTTTGATACCACTCGAGGGACTCACTCAATCAATTTGAACTTGCTTTTTGTTATACGTAATAAATCATTCGACTCCGAACGCCTAAACTTATTACCTACCTTGAGGGTATGGATGTATTATTTGCAATATGATTTTATGTTGTATAGGTTTTACATTTGATGTATAATAATAAGTTCGACATGGCGTGCCGTCGGTGGTACCTAAATACGTTTTTCAGTCCTTCGGTTGAATTCCTGTAATAGCTGCAGCTATAGTCACGTGCAAAAATACAAACACGAATACAAACACAAATCGTGAGATAACGTCGTGGGGTAAACGACGACCGAATGATTTATACCTGTATTATTATAACCTATTTTATGTCACACACGTGGTAACTACAATGAGAACAGCTGGGTGTATGGACAAATTTAAATGGCTGTAACCATTTTGATTCACTAACCATTTTCTTCAAAAAAAAATATAAATAAATAACTCTTTATCATTTTCCTCTATTTTCCAATTTCCCCCAATAAGGAATTAAGAATAAAGTATATCATTTTTATATTTAAAACAAAATATATAAGAGTTATTAAGATAGTTATAAAAAGTAAACATTAAAAAAAAATGTGTATGAATTATTAACAATTATGTATTTGCCTATATTTATTATAAATATTTTACGTTTTGTATTACTTTGAAAATGTTTCATTTTAAAATTTTATAATTTTACTGTCGATTGCTTCACGTCGTTTGTTTACGCTCGTTAGTCTTTAGATTGTTATAGAATCTGAAAATGTCTTATTTTACATTAGTATCTGTTTAAATGTGTATCAAAATGTTGAGCCACATTAATATATGTGGTTTTTTTATAATAATAACGTGGCTAAATATTTTGATATTTAGATGAAAATGGACAGTGGAAGAAAACAATATCTCATTTTTGTAGAAAATGGACCCACCCATTTAAATAAATACATAAAAACAACAATATGTACCTAGTATATTGTAAAAATAATAAATAAGAATATAAGAGATAACAATATATTGTCAGAAAAGGAGGCCGACCAACGATAGGAACCCACCAGAAATTATTAATTAATCATGTTAATTTTGAACTGGTTATTTATTTAAGAGATCATCGCACCAACGTTCAACTTACCTAGCTTTAAACTTTTGAGCTGGGTTGTCTGCTGGTAGTGTGCTTGTTGTGAGATTTCAATCTAATGTGTTTGGATGAGATTGTAATAGTTTTACATTGACATTTATATTATATACACACTTAAACAGTCTAGTGTTTACAATACATAGAACATTATAATTTATAAATCATATTTATGATGATTAATTTTATAAAAACAATGGTAATAAAATATTTGTACAAGATAAAATGTATCTTAAGTCTATGCGGTTTTTTTAGGGGGAAATAATTGTTTTAACGTGACAAATGACAGTAGAATGATTTAATACCATAGGGAAAACGTTGACTCGTTGTGTTATAGAAGATACTTTATGAAAAAAATTAACTCGTTATGTAACTTGATTAAAAGTGAATAGTGACTTAACTTTAATATCTTAACTCGTTAATTCTCAGCCTTGTTATTCAGTAATTAATGAGTATTCAGTAAATGGCCAGCAGCATATATCAAGAGTGATGATTAGGTATACGTCATGATAATAACATTTATAACTTGTTTTGTGATAAGCCAAATGTTAGGCTGGCAAAAAATAAACTAACGACAGCTACGCTTAGTACAAAATACTTGGGAGGACGTCTATTCCGCATATTATATTGTAGTTGTCTCCGTCTTGTAAATGAACAACACATCTAATTTATGTTCAGTGGTTCTAATTTAGTGTAGTAACTTTTAATAATAGAGTATATTATTATAATTAAAGGTAAAAACATTAACTTTGTTTTTTGTTTCTTTCGTTTTGTACAATACTATAATTTTTAAGCAGTTTCTGAGAATTTATGTAGAATAATTGTAATATTTCACATAGGTAGTTATCGTAACATGCTGGAAAATTAAATCCAGATGTAAACGAAGTTAATACGCAGTTTCTTTCAAGTCTAATTCACTCTATGATTAAATGTTACTAAATAAAACTTCAGAAACTACTGGACACATATTGACTACGTCGTACGTTTGAAGGACAGATACAGCTTCACCAGCGGGTGTAGGCTGCGTCCTCTTAAGACCAAAATAATTCGAATAATCGTAATAATATTCAAAAGCACCGAAGAGAGGACTGCGAGAGGACTTGTGTTATGCGCACACAGACACACACACACACACACACACACACACACAGAGACACACACACACACACACACACACACACACGTACGAGCAATAATAACGTGGCCCCGGGGTCTTGTGCGGAAAACCAATCGGGAACGAAACGTATTTTTTTATTATTATTATTATTATTAAATTGCGTGCAATGCGCATATGTTTCAGTTGTACAGTCTGAGGGGCCTGATGCAGGGCAGCAAGAAGAACCAAGGTATGGCGCCGCTGGGCAACAATTTCCGACCACCTCAACCGCTGCACAATCGGCTGGTGCGCACCAATATCGATTTCAACCTGAGAAAGGTAATGTAATTTATACTGCTTGCTCGATATATTAATAGTATTCTGATGATGTACTCACAGACTTGCATGAACGTACAAGGGGGTGGGGGGGGGTATTAGTGATGGGCAAATTCCCGGGAATATTGATCATAGGTTTCAGTTTTAAATTTTATATTAAATTTATGGTTGTAAATGATCCAAATAACAGCTCATTATTGATACTATGTCAGTTTAGATATTAAATTATTATTCTTTAAAAAAAAGTTACTAAGTAACTATAATTTAATATTTTTAATAAAATCTGTACAATGATCACAAAATAAACGATCCAATTTGCATTTGTTTATGTTGAAAAAGTAAAAAAAAACATGCTGAAATACATAATACTGAATAACATAAGAAATAATAATTTTTTTTTTATAGAAATTTTCCTTACAGGTTGGGGAATATTCCTTGAATATTCCTAATGGCACATCACTAGGGAGTATAATCTATTTGGTCTGTGTAAGCGGGAGGGGTGGGGGTTATAAATCTTAATCGATATAAATTACAAATTTTCAAAGTCAGTAAAAAATCACGGTATTGTAGCTGTCGGTTGGGTTGGTGGGATGGTGGGTGGGAGGTTTAACTCGTTCCACGTGTTTGGGTTATTCAAATTTCAAAGGTGCAAGCAAAACTTCACAGTCAGCTCCCTGCAACGCCGCCCTGGTACCCAGTGCATTATAATATAGCACATACCGTAATAATATAATAAACATCACATGATATTATTATTACTATTATTATACATTACACGCTCGCCTAGGTTTTCTGAGTAACTTCCTGGCAAACACTCGCCCAGCTACGATTTACTTCAAACAATTATTAGTTTGTACTTTACGTATAATACTATACATTTGTATATTTTCTTTTCCCCTCCTTAACTGCTGCAACTCAGACTGAGATGTTTTATATACGATCTATATAAAAGTCTTTCTCGTCGAGACCATTATAATACGACATCGGTAGACGGTGGCCCAATAGTGATATACCTACATAATGATTCAGTGTTTCACAATATTTTTAATGTAGCCACCCTCTTTTTGAATTTCAAGTTTTTATCTACCCCTACATATATTTTTTTTATATACCTACTCACATAGATTATTATTAATAATCAATATTACAAGTACTGTACATAAACCACATAAAATACATAGGCATAGGTAATATTATAATTTTTTTTAATTTAAGAAAAAACATTTATTTGTTACAGTTATTATAATATTATCATAATATGTATACCAAATATTTAATTTTAATTTAAATAACATTTTTAAATTAAAGTTCTAAATGACTTGGATGTTGCTGTTGATCTGAAATTATTTCGTAAATTCTTGATTTAATAGAGTTTGTTAAACTAATTCCAGGGGCGAGCTCAGGGGGTAGACCCCAGATCCGGACACTCCCCCCCAAACTTAGATAATGTCATAGTTTTTTTTCAATATTGCCTAACAATAAATTTCATCAAAACTTGCATCTTATATAATAAATAATTCTGCTTATTAAGCAATACAATGCATGTATACACTCAGGATACGTTTTTGTCGAATTAATAAAAGAATTTTTATTGTTTTTAAGAAAAACTGAAGGTATTCTGTAACTAAAGGAGGTAATAAAAAAAAATAAAGAAATAACATAAATAACTATTTTTGGATTTTATTATTTGCCCAACATTTGGGAGGAGTTTTCTGTTTCCCTGTAGCTTATTTTTATTCCTAGTCTGTCCCTGTCTACTTGGGGATCTCCATTACAGAATTTGTTGAAAACAATCTATTATGCATATTCAAAAGTATTTTGGAGAAGAAAGAACATTCATTAGCCTATATACTTCATATTATTGTATTGTATTATTGTTCATAAAAATCATAATATTTGTTAATTTCTAGAGTTGTAATTATTTCATCAAAAGAAAATTTAAACCATTTATACATAATATATTTCTTATTATAACTTGTGTACAGATTATAAAATGTTATGAAGAAAAAAACGCTTATTTTCAGTATATTTTACCAATTTGAGGCAAGGACTGGAACCGAACCTAAAAGACCCGGTTCTGGAACCGGAACCTTTATTTTAATAAATAAAGTACCGGAACCAAACAGGAATTTTTAAATTAAATAGGCATCTTAGGTTCAAAAATAAAATAGTTTAATGGTATTATTGTTTGTGTATAAACTATATTATGTATGATTATAAGAGTTTTCTAATATTTCTCATACTATTAATTAAACCCACATTCTGAATAGGTATTTAAAATTATTATATTTTTCGATAAATAAATTATTTGGAACCGATACCTTTATTTTTTTTTCATAAAAAAACCATAACCGAACCAAAACAGTTATTTTATTTTTAGAGAACCAGTACCGGTGTCGCAGGATTTTAATACCCTCAAATGTTTTTACCCCCGGGGGTAAAATTGACCTAGGATATTTATACCCCCGGGGGTAAAAACATTTGAGGGTATTAAAATCCGGAACCGGAACCGATTCTGATAAATTCATGGATTATCTAGATAATATTTTATGGTATTTTTAGAGTACATTAGAATCATATTCTAAATTTATAAGAGCCTAACTATTCGCTTTATAGCTACGACTTGATCGCTTCACTGATATGTCATTAGATTATTAAACTATAAAACCTCCCCTAACGGACACTTTGAAATACCGGACACGGTTTTCGGGAACAAATTACAAACTTAATTCTTTGAAGAATATAGGGGACATAATTTCAACTACCGAGAGTGTCCGGTATTTGGAGGTTTCACCGTCACACTGGTTTTACAAGTCATCGACCTCCCCCCCAACACAGAGGACTGTATTTTGAAACCTTTAATTTGCTTATACCGTCTGAGTCATATTCTTATATTCTCCAACTGACCCTCTACCCGAGTATTATAATTTAATAAAAATGTGACCGCGCGTCGTCACCGACCGAATAAATAAAAAACCGTTTGGTTTGCCACTCGCTACGACGACGACGACGACTTTAATGGACTGCGCTCTTGTTTTTTTTTTTTTTTTTTTACTCATTTATTACCTTTTTTTCTTTTTTGAATTACAGGACGATGAGAAATACTGCCCGAGCATGCACAAAGACGTATACTACAAGGGTAAGTGCGTAGTATTAATTGCCGGTTATCCGTTTGTCACGATTTATTTATTCGTTTAACGGACGAGCGGGCGGACGAGTAGCGCGCCGCAGTCCTTTTTATTATAATATTATACGTTTTATACTCTCGTACAACTGCTACCAGTTACCACTATTATAATACCCGTCTACAACTGCAATTATAATAATATGTATACGTATATAATAATAATATTATAGTATTACCTACACAACGCGCATTACCGACGCCGCCCGCATGCACTTCCGACGACCATCCGGCCGGCGATATTCGCGTTGGTAGGTCACGTGTACGTAATAATTTATCGAACCCTCCTCTATTTTTGTCCGCAGCGAACACATTTTGGACTCGCACATCCCCCTGCTCGATATTTTAATATTATACTCAGTTTTGTTTTGTTTCAGCCAACGACTGGAAACCACACTAATAACGTACCAACCTACGTATAAACAACACGCGGCGGTGGCGGCCGCCGTCGTCGTCGTCACTCATCCGTCTAAACAACAGCAAATGCACCGTCGTCGAGCGAACCGGAAGATGACGGCGATGACGACATTCCAGTATACATCATGTTATGATATTATTATTATGATATTAATATTGTGTAAAATAAATTATTTAATTAAGTATAAAAATAACTGAGAAAAAAAATGGCAAGTCAAAAAACTACAAAAAAAATAACCGATTCCAAGATTCCCAGAGGTCTCTCTCTTTCCTCTCCCTCTCCCTCCCCCTTCTCTCTTTCTCTCTCTATCACTGTCATTCTATTTCCTCAATTTCTATTTTTCTCTTTATCTCTATCTCTCTCTAATTGTCCGAAATGATTAATTTTAGGCTCGATCTCGAGCGTCTCATTCCAATAGGCACACCCCACACGCACGGTATAATAATAATTACGTTATCCGTTCCGTCTTCAGTCCGTTTAGACGACAATCGTAATAGTTACTAATAATAATCATATACATGAAATGTATGACGTCTTATATATTTTATAAAGGGAAAAAAGCCCACATCGCTTTCCTCTAAAATCGGTACTACCTATACCTACGAACATTCTCCTCCGTGTACTACCGGATCACGAGAGAGGACGAGACGAGGACCTTAGGGTCGGTTTTTTTTTGTGTTTTTCTTACTTTTTTTTTCTTCAGGGATAATAGTTTTATTAATAATATATATATATATATATATATATATAATATATACATGTCTTCGGCTCGATATCGGGAGGTTCTCGGAAACAGAATCTTTCGCAATATACGCGCGTTTCAATAATATAAGAGTAATATTACTACTGTTATAAGGGAGTAAAACGAACGCACGCGAAAACCCTCGAACGAAACAATAATATACGTGTAGTGCAGCCAATAAAATATATATAGTTGTACCTACTCCTCACCTACCCACTAACCTACCTACCCACCGACCTTACCTATCTGCCTGCTCTACGAACGCCGCCGACGACGACAACAACGACTTACGTATAAAAATCGCTCTTGGTTTTTCCGGGCGTTTTATAGATTTTGCATTAGGGCACGTTGTGTTTACGGCACATGAAAATATGTTTTCCCGTATCTTAATATCATACCGAAATGTGTACTCGTCATTACATGGGAATATGTGCTCGCTCGAATCGTATTCCCCTACACTAATCTCAGACGTCGACACTTAATAATAATAATAATACGCAAAATTGCCCGTCGCGATTACGTTTTTTAAGTAATTTTTTTTTATTATTATCATTATTATTATTATTCCGCGAACTGCGCCGCACAATATTTCGTATTTAACGCGGCTGGTTATAGCGTGTCGGGCGTGAGTTGAACGATTTAATTTTTTTTTTCCTTCACATTTATCATAATCTATAATAATAATATTATATCGGTAGACGGGTTTACTTTTTAATAAAATAAATTGCTTGTTTTTTGAAAAATCACGTTAATCTTAATAAATTCCACGTGACATAAAACTTAACATGATATCATTATTATTTCAATAAAATTATAAAATACTACAATATTATATTATATCATTAAAATATCGTATAAGTATAGGTAGGTACCTATTTAGGTGATATTAATAACCATAACTTCAGGCAGTATAACGGTCCGTGTTCATTATAATAACACTATGTTCATAATAGCTGTTGTTCTCGATGTAGGTGCCTAACTGTATTGGTTAGAAACAATAAAATAAATTACTAAAACGACATTCCGGTTCAAATCGTGAGTCTATATTACAGACTTGGACTTCTATACTATATTATACTCATCTAAGGAGTTTTACGAGATTTTAGAGCCTGTTGATATCGAGCTGATTTTGCACTGCGTTTAAAAAAAACATAATCATCTCGTACATATACGCGAATACATTACACATATCTCCATGATTGTAATAATTTATATATTCATATTATGTAAACAGTTATTTCAGAGCACTCTTAATTTTGACTGAAATTCAATTAAAACGTACTATTATTTTGCTAGCGACTGGATTTTATTGTAATATTATTGTAATAATACATAAATTCATACATATACATTATACATTATTATACATTATGCATATTATTATTATATGGATGTCTGTAGCGTGTCAAGGTTCCTACAATACGTTGTTATCATTATTAGTGTATTAATAAACCTTTGACTAAGTGTTTTTGATTTTTTTGGTTTCTTTTCTATTTATTTACCTATTAACTAGTGTGACACAATGACATTTCGTGCTCGCCTATTATACGAATTACTATACGAATGATTATCATAAAAATGGTGTAGTACTACAGGTTACAGAAAAAAATTGAAAACGCATTTCCCGCTGCGGATGGATGACACACGGACGTAATATTTTAATGTTTGAAGCGTAATTGTGAATATTATATTATAATTAGTAATAAAACATAATAATATTCACTATAAAAATAATATTTCAATTTATTTAATGTATATAGCAAATATAATGTTGGTAGTAGGTACTCAAATAAACGTGTATTTACAATATATTTTTAGTATTGCATAAGGAAAAATGCATTTTCTCTATTTAAATAATATCCAATAGTTGAATAATCCATAATATTTAATGGAAACATAGGTTTATAATTAAAGCAATTTATGGAATTATGTCAAATCGATAGCTGACTTTGATAATTGTATTATCAAAACATATTTTTTACTGTACATATTTCATCAACCAGTATGTTATTATTATTACATATTAACATTAGTCGGTGATACGAATATTATCATAATTAGCTAAATCCGACAAAAATAATATATTTAAAATATCATTTTTGTTGTATATTTGAAACTTTTGGGGTACAATTTATTATTACCTACTCTTTAATAATTTTTATTACAACGAAAATTCGCAAACGGAGTTTGTTGGATAAATAAACGGAAATGGTAGGTATAATGCTTAAAGCGCAAACACAATTTTGAACTGATAGCGTCGTATGACGTGTGCTCGATTGTCTTAGACGAAAATTGTTCGAAACGTGTTTTTTGAAATGTAATTTTGTATGGTAAAATATTATGTTTGAAATATACGACGAGGTGAAAAATACACATTGAACAAATAGAAAAAATACGCGTTCAGTAAATAAGTCTTGGGTGCGTGACAGATAAAATATTCGCGAGGAGAGCGAAAAATCCGGTGTGAATGAATGGGGAACATTTGACATAAAAATGTAAAGGTGTCGAGCGGAAGAAAAAAACGAAAGAATTCTAGTTTATCTGTGATAACAAATCATAACGAGAAGGCTGGTATAAAACAAGATTTCAACTACTTGGGATTTCTTTAAGTTCTACCTGAGAATTACGCAAACATAAATCGTTGCGGAAACAGATTTTTTTTCCCCCGTCATTTCTCAAACGCAGAATAGGATCATTCAATTTATACGTATATAGCTTTAAACAACTTACTTGTGTTTGTTTATAGGGCATTTTTTTACTTTTTTTTTTTATTTCTCGAAGGTCTGAGACAAAAACCTAGATAATGTAGGTTACCTATATGTTGAAAACAAAAAGTCGAAGAAGATATTATCATAAAATCAGTATTTAAAACCCAATAGAAACGCACTTTATATTTGGATTAAACCTGTTGACAAATTATTGTGTTATACTACCTATATCAATAGCAGGGCTTGAAATTAATTTAAAAATCTTTTAAAAAATCAATAGTAATATTAAAACCGTTAATGTTTATTAATGATATTCAAAATGTATATGGAAATGAGAAAAAAATTGAATTACTTAAAAGTTAAGGTTTCACACTCATCAGCAGGTCATGATATGGTTTATTGCTAGGTAATAAGTTCAATGTTTAAATTTAAAAGCAATTTAGAACGATTATACATAGATCAAATCTAACTCATCAAAATTGAAAATAATTTAATGATTTAACAAAATAGTAAAAATGTAAAGGTTAATTTAAAATTGAAACTTAATTCGATTACGGTTGATCAACTTCACGCAGAACCCCGACTTTGTCCGATCGATTAGACAAATATGCCAAAACTATGCAAATTGAATTTTAGATTTTGCAAATCAATATTTTTTTTTAAATAATTCCACTTGATAAAACATAATCATATGTCACTCGATAAAATATTTAGAGTTTAGCTTTCAATTTTCTTTATGGTAGACCCTGTACATGTGGAACATAATATACACATCATTGTAAAATCAATAAATTTATCGATCAGAATCTAAAATATGCACTCACAAGTTATCAAAAAACATATTTATTCTCCAAAATATAAAATTATGGAAACCTCCTATAAATATATCTCTAAAATATCTGTTTTGTAGGTAGTTTTAATCAATAAAGAAAAAATAGGAATCAATTAATATCGAAATTGTATCCTAAAAAGAATTTACTTAGGTATCTAAATCATTTGGGATATGTTTAAACTTTAATCTAAAAAAAAAAATTCCCCATTATAATTGGGTAAATTGTTTATACCTACAAGTATAGGTTGTATCTACAAGTAGCTTATACCTAAGTAGGTTATAGGTATACCTTATTCATAAATTATTTAGATATTAATCAAAACTATAAAAATATATATTTTTTTTCTATATTACAATATTAATATACATTTAATAAATTATACTCGATTCCTCTCCTGCATAGGTAAAATCTATATTATTATGTGTTTTATGGAGATTTATCAGTGGAGCGTAGGCAGTCTTGTAAAGTATTCGAATAAAAGTATTTGAATACTTTTTTTGTATTCGAATACTATTTTAAATATATTTTTTAAGAACTATTAGAATAGGTATTCTGAATACCTTATTTCTCATTTATTCGAATATGTATTCCAAATACAAAATAAAAGTTTCTTTACAAGACTGACCTATTTTATACATTTATATGATAATATCTATATTTGCACTTAATCCTACGAAATAAAGGTAAGAATCGGTATGA